CAGCGCTGGTTCTCCCGGGCCGCACGCTGCCTCCGCGGAGCCGAGCGACTCGCGCTGCGTGGACACGAGCTCCCGGGAGCCCGCGAGGAGCTGGGGAGCCCCGGGCTGGACGAAGAGCCAAGCACCTGGGCATCCCGCGGGACTGGCACTCACCGGGCCCCTCAACCCCCAAACTTTGCAACAGCAGCTGGAAGAGGAGGAGAAAGCTGGGGACCGAAAGGAGGGAGGGGATGAACAGCAGAAGGCGTCCCCCGGAGAGGAGCCGGAGCCCAGGACCCGCGTCGGGGCCCGCGAAGGACTGGTCCTGGATGTGCTGGGTCAGTGGCGCTCGCCCCCCGCTAAGAGACAAGTCTTCTGCTCCGTCTACTGCCTGGAGAACGACCTGCCTCAGCGCCCCACAGCGGAGCAGCCCTCGCCGCCCGCGTCGCCACCTCGGGCTCCTCCAGTGACAGACCCTCCCAGCACCCCCTCCTCCTTTCCTAGCCCCCGGCTCCCCCTCCCAACGGACCCCCTGTCTCCCGATGGCGGCAGCATCGAGCTGGAGTTCTACCTGGCGCCAGAACCGTTCTCCGTGCCCAGCCTGCTTGGAGCTCCACCCTACTCTGGCTTGGGTCGGGTAGGGGATCCCTATGCGCCCCTCATGGTGCTGATGTGCCGGGTGTGCCTGGAAGACAAGCCCATCAAGCCCTTGCCCTGCTGCAAGAAAGCCGTGTGCGAGGAGTGCCTCAAAGTCTACCTGAGCTCCCAGGTAACTTCACCCCCTCTGCCCCCTCCTCTGTGTCCCATTCAGCATGCCTAATCACTGGCCAGGAAGTCCAGCTAGCCAGTTCCCTGCTCACAGGAAGAGGAGCTGAGACACCCTTACCGAGGACCTCTATCAGTTTCTCACATCTCAGTTGTAATGTTATTTAAGTGTGTTTTGTCGTCACTGGTTAACTTGACTGGAATTTACCTCTGCTCTGAGTTTCAGGCTTTGGTTGGCAACCGCAGAAGAAACAGGGTACAGAGAATTGCCTTCATTTTTTTTCTTTTACTAGATTGCAAGCGAGAGCTTGCTCAAACAGGAGGGCTGTGATAGTGCCTTATAGGCCTGGTATCCCAGAAACTAACAAATAGTGGGCATAAAATAAGTATAGATTGAGTTGGTGAAGAGGAAGGTTGGAATTAATATTTCCTGTCCATGACACCTGATTTTTTAAAATTTTGCTCCATTTATATATTCCAGAAGAGTATAATTCATTTATTCCTTGGCCCTTTCCCACTTTTCACTTTTCTCTTTCCACAGTAATGTTGAAGTATTTTTCCTCACTAAAGTTTTATGCCAGCACAGTACTTTATTTCTTTAAGAAGGAGCAAAACAGAAAGAGCGAAGCAAAGCTAAGAGATTGAACAAAACAAGCACTGGTGAAACTTTCTTCTTCATCTTCTTATTTGAAGGCTTGTTTTTTTCTTGGAAAGCTTAAGAGTGCAACAGACCAGCTTTCCTTCACTGATGCCCTGAATGCTTTCTTCCAGCAGTTTTCAGTCTGTTATGTTTCTGCCAGTGTTTTGCACAATTCAGAATGACCTTTGATCCCATGTCTGATTGTCCTAGGCCTATTCATCTTTCAAAACCCTGGCTGTTCAGGTGCCAGCTTTTCTGTGAAGCCTTACCTCACCCTCTAGGCCACTGCTTAAACACTTTTAAAATACGTCTGCATGTTTATATGTACTGGTGTTGTTACTTATGTGTCTGTCTTGCTAGATTGTATGGACAACATTTTATAGTCCCTGTACCTGGTAGTTTCATGTGGAGTCCCTTTCCTGTAATAGTATTTAATAACATTGGCAGAAGCAAACTGAACAGGGTTCCAAAGAGTGAGATTCCTTTATGTTTTGTGGCTAATCCATGCTTGTGTCTACACTGAAAATGTGTACTGTGCCCAACTGAAAACGCAAAAGGAAATTTAGACAGAGCTGAATGTTACACAAACAGTAACTTGGCCAAGACAGTTGAGATTATCCAGATGCCTGTAAGAGATTATGATGTTTCTTTCATGCTTTATCCACAAACAGATATTTAAAACAGGAGGAATGTCTGCTGCTCATTGTGGTAGTTTCTATGACATCATCATCAAACAGATATTGATACCATCCATGGGTAAAGCCATGTGGTGGGATTCAGATATTCCCAAAACATGGGCCCTGCTCCAGGGAAGTCACTGAGAGCAGATGTGTACACAACAATACAAGGTAGCATATAATGAGACATAAACAGAATAACAGTACCAGGTAGCATTTAATGTTAAAAGCTGAATACAAATACAGTGAGTTTACAAGTTCAAGGGGGATGGTCATTGGGGGTTTGGGTACTCTGCATTGCAGTTCGATTTCCTTAACATGGGCCCTCTCCCCAAAGTGAATTTTTTTTTTTTAACTTCTGTGAGTTACTTTTAGGAAGTCAATATTTTGATCTCTTGTGGAGAAAAGAAATGGAGAATGGGAGGGTGGAAAAGTGAGTGAAGTACTACTGCAATATCCAACACTAAAAACTCCTCCGAAGCTACATAGTCTCTGAAGGTTGTCTGTAGTGTTTATGACAGTTCAGTTCGTATGTTCCTGACCTTCTTTCAAAGTGTTTGACAGAACTTTCAATAAAGAAAAATATACTTTATTTAAAATAATAAACAACAACAGAAAGATGAGTCATATGGGCCAGGCATGCTTCCACCTCGGGGCTTTTGCACTTGTTCCTTGTGTCTGGAACATCTCTGATGCCATTCCCTTTGCTCATTTACTCCTCCCCCTTTTCTCTTCTAGGGCTGTATGCAACTATCACCCTTAAGGCCTTCACTAACCACCCTTTTTAACGTTGAACCTCACCTCACACTCCCAATCTCCTTTCCTGCTTTTATTTTCTCCATAGCACTAACACACACAATCTTACACTTCAGTAATTAATTTCCATGAAGATAAGAGTTTTCATATGATTTGTTCACTACTGTATCTTTAGCACCTAGAACGTCATCTCACATATAACAGACACTCAACTAATAGTTATTGAATTTATGAAGAGATGAGCGACAAAGAAAAGATGAGATTAGCGCCAGAAACCACGGCTGGGAAGTGGTGTTCTGCTTGGCACAAAATTCTACTCCGAGCTTCCTGATGTTTAAAACAAAAGACGAAGACTTAAAGCAGACAAAATTAATAGGTTTGCTAAGTTTGTCTATAAACAGAATTAAAGAGTTTTTAGACAAACATTGAGCTTATACAGAAATGGCACTTTTTCAATTGGATAAAAATGTGAGCTTGTGGTTATAGTATTTCTGATCTGTGTTAATTACAAGGTCCCTTCTAATCAAAGGGTCTCTGTTTCTGTGTCACTTATCCTCTCTGTGCCTTAATTTCCTCATCAATGAAATGGAATCGCAGACCATGATCTGTAATGGCACACTATTTCTAAAGCAAAACAACATCAAACTGCAGAGTTGTTTTGTTTGCCTTACTAAACTGGATCAAAAGGGCATAGTGAGTGCTTTCTTTCTCATTTTATAAAGTTTCTTGGGTTTGACAGAAACAAATTTGTCAAGTCTGAACTTGCAGGGCTCTTAAGACCTTTTAAAATAAAATGATATATTTGAAATTAAGTTATTAGTGACTTTCTCCACCAGTTTTTGAATCTGTGCCAAGTGCATTATTTAACATCACTTAAGAAAATAAAGCAGAGTCCCTATTAAGTATTTTATATAAACATCAAAAATCCATACTAAATGTGAGTTGGACTATTGCCTGGTTAAATTAACTTTCTCCTAAAAGGAGAATGCTGAGTTCTTTGAAAGAAGGTACAAATATGGATGTGGAAGATAGGAACATGGAGTTTTAGATGATAAGTCTTATTTCCATTAGTTCCGTGGACTAAATATGTAGTAAAGGTTGATGAGCAGATGTAGTCATTATTTCAGTACAGATGTTAACAGATTAGGCAGTGACTTAAATACCACCATACTGTCATTTAAAAATAATAGTTTTAATTTTCAAAACATAATTCTCAAGTTATTCCTGTGACTGAGGCTGCGGGGAACTTTTCTTAGTGGAATGATTTTACAGTACAATAGGTACCATCCAGTTACCATGGTGAAGGGTTGAACTTGATAAATTATAATCTTTGGTACTACATAGGTGTTGACTTAGAGGCCCTAGAGCACCATGAAAGAGGTAATGGGAGTTACTGGTTTATATTGCCTGGGTACATGAATCTTTGGCATATAAAATTTAGAAGTGCATTTCCCAGTGACCTATGTATGCATGTATGGTGAAAGCACAGAGTCCCAAGGATATTGCAGTCCCCTCCTAGTCACTAAGCCATTACAAATGTTGACCTTCTCAGTTGGTTTGGCCTTTACCCGTATTTTCCTAGGAGGAAAGGTTATTGCCTTCTTTGTTTCATAGAATGATATTGCACTCATTTCAGAAGTTCTCAACAAATATCTATCTTTTATGATTTTGATTTTAGACAATAAAATCTGTTATATGAAGTATTACTATTTAGTGCTTTTAGATAAAGAGGGAATTGGGCATGCTAAGGGCTTTCTAAAGGTGACAGCTGTCATCACGCTGCTTCAAAGTGGTTGAGATTGGCAGATGCATATAAGTTGGAATGTATACACCTGTCAAATGAGTATTAATAGAGACATGCAGCACATTTCTCTTACAGATTGTGAACAAAGCAGCTGCTAGATGGTAATGTCCTAAAATGACTGTCTATTATGATCACCCTAGAATCAGTAACCTAGGGGTGAAAGCTTATGTATCCTATTATTAAACTCTGAGTCATCTAGACCTTTATGGGTAAAAGTGTAACCTACTTTTTTCCTTAAACCTTAAAGCAACCTACATATTTTTAGAAACTGTCGCATTCACTGTGGAGTTTGAATGCAGCCATCTTCACACAGGTGAATTTACAGTTCCTGCCATTCCAGGTGTGATTTTGGTAGTCTGAAAATGTGAAGAATAATATGAGACTGAAATCTGTTAAACCACTCTACAAATTTTAAAAGTGAAAAGTAAGGCATATGTGAGCTTATTCTTTTGTCTACAGAATGTGTGTGTGTGTGTGTGTGTGTGTGTATTTGGGGAGGTGTGGTAACATTTGCTTTCACACCTTACTGACTCATGCCCTTATTTTCCTCTTCTGTCTCTTTAATAATTTCTTTCTCTTTAATAATTTATTTCCTTTTTTCTCTTACTGTTCAAAATCTGATTTGAACTGGCATTTGATTTCTGTAGAGGAAACCCCTATTGAGGGTTGCGCTCTGGGCCAGCAGGACCTGGTTATGGGCTGCCTAGGTGTCTCCCTTCTCTTGCAGCTATCTGGACGTGAATGAGGCAACATAGAGAAACCCTGCATTGCACTCCACTGCCTAAGAGATCTCAAATAACATGATTAGTACTACTTACCTAAGGCAGCAACTCAGACCTTTAGAGTGGTGATATTTTTGACTCATAGAGTAGAGCTCAGCTTTCTCTTTACTCCTCATACAAGAGACAAAAAGAGGATAATATTAAAACTTGAGCTCCCAGCTTTTTATTAAGAGTTTGTGATAGCCAGTGTGGACATACCTGAGTGATGAGTCTTATAATTAACTTATTCATTTATTAGTGTCCCACTTATGCACATAACAAATATTTATTGGGTACCTTTACGCCAAGTACCATGAGATAATCTAAAAATGTACTTAATGTCCCCAAGGAGCCATCTTAAAACCT